CCACTGTGCAGGCAGCCCACCAGACACTTGACTGCACCGACACAATGAGAGCCACCAGCGGTGAGCAGAAAAAGAAGAGGATGTCTCTCTCCTCAAAGACCAACCCAGAATAACAGAAGAAGCAACTGCTCTACCAGATGAACAGACATCAATGTAGAGAACTAGAAAAAAGAAAACCCAAGAAAATATGATACCACCAAAAAAATACAGTAATTCTCAAATACCAGACATTATAGAGCAGGGAACGCTTGAAATGACTGAAAAGGGATTCTGACCATCTATCTTAAGGAAACTCACCGAGACAGAGGAAGACTATTAGATAACACAATGTAACAAGAAGAGAAATCCAGAATATGAAGGAAGAAGTTTACACAGATTAATACCTTTAAAAAAAAAGGATGTAGCAGAACTCACAAAACTGAAATATTCACTCAATGAAATCAAAAACACAACTGAGAGAGTAAGCAACAGGCTAGGACAAGCATAAGAAAGAATTTCTGAACTTGAAGATAGTCTTTTAGAAATAACTAAGGTGGACAAAAAAAAAAAAAAGGAAAAAAGAATTTTTAAAAATGAAGAAAACCTAAGAGAGCTACCAGACAACTTTAAGCACACAAACATTCCAATCATGGACATCTCAGAAGGGGAGGAGAAAGGAAAAGGCATGGGAAACCTATTGAACAAAGTCATAACAAGAAACTTCCCAGATATAGAGACATGGACCTTCAGATCCAGGAGGCTCAAAGATCCCCCAATAGATTCACACCAAAAAGATCCTTTCTAAGACACATTATAGTTCAACTGGCAAAGCTCAAAGACAAACAGGGAATCTTTAAAAAAGCAAGAGAAAAGCATCAAGTCACATATAAGGGAGTCCCTGTCAGACTAAGAGCAGACTTCTCAATTGAAACTCTACAGGCCAGAAGAAAATGGGATGATATATTCAAAACACCAAAAGAAAAAAAACCCCTGCCAGCCAAGAATACTATACCCAGCAAGACTATCCTGCAGAAATGAGGGAAAAACAGTGCATTTTCCAGACAAAAATTGCAGGAATTCCCCACCACACAACCAGCTCTGCAAGAAATCTTCAAGGAAGTCCTATATCTGTAATCTTAAAAACAGTAATCACTATCATGAATACACAAGAAAGAACAAAACCCACTGGTAGAACAAAAAGGCAAATGAGAAAAAAACTAAATCTTACCATCACTAATAACCACAATGACAATGTAATAATGCCTCTGCTTTATTTCTGATTTTAGTAATTTGTCTACTTTCTTTTTTTCTTGGTCAGTCTATATAGAGGTTTGCAAATTTTGTTGATCTTTTTAAAGAATCACTTTTGGGTTTTGTTGATTTTCTCTATTGTTTAATTCTCAATTTCATATATTTCTGCTGTAATCTTCGTTATTTCCTAATTATATTTGCTTTTTGTTTAGTTTGCTCTTCTTTTTCTATTTTCTTAAGGTAGTAGTTTACATCACTGATTTGAGATTTTTCTTATTTTTAAGAAAAAATAATGATTTGAGATTTTCCCTCTTTTTTAGGGATGATACACTTAAGAGACTAAGATTTAGGAGACGGGTTGTTTCCCAAGTATTTCCTTTCAGAGTGTCAGGTGCCAGCTAAGGCTTAGGTAGATTACCATGCCATTTTACAGAAGTCAATAATCTTTTACACAGGTGCATTCAGCCTCAGCTAATTTCCATGTAGGATAGTGATAATATCCCATGAGAGTATCTTTTTTCTGTTTTATTTTTTAATTGACAAATAATAATTGTATATACTTATGAAGTATGGTGTGGTATTTCATTACATGTATACATTGTATAATGATCAAATCTGGCTAATTAACATATCCATTACCTCAAATATTTATCATTTCCTGATGCTGACAATACTAAAAATCCTCTCTTTTAGCTATTTTGAAATATACATCATTAAATACAGTCACCATGCAGTGTAAAAGATCACCAGAACCTATTCCTCCTAACTAAAACTTTGTACCCTTTGACTAACATCTCCCTGTCTACCCCTCCTCCCCCAGGCCCTGGTAACCACCATTCTACTATCTACTTTCATGATCTCAACTTTTTAAAATACCACATAAAACCAACAATGTACAAGGGGGTTCCTTTTTCTCCACATTCTTGCCAACACTTATCTTTCATCTTTTGGTAATAACCAATCTAACCAGTGTGAGATGATATCTCATTGTGGTTTTAATTTTCACTTCTCTGATGATTAGAGATGTTGAGCATTTTTTCATATATATGTTGGCCATTTGTATGTCTTCTTTTGAGAAATGTGTATTCAGGTCTTTTGCTCATTTTTTAATAGAATAGTTACTTGCTTTCTTGTTATTAAGCAGTTTGAGTTCCTTGCATATTTTGGATATTAGTCCCTTATCTGACATATGATTTGCCAATATTTTCTTCCAATCTGTGGGCTGCCTCTTTACTCTGTTTCCTTTGCTGTGCAGGGGCATTTTAGTTTGATGCAATCCCATCTATTTTTGCTTTCATTGCCTGTGTTTTTAAGGTCTTATTCAACAAATCACTGCCCAGACAAATGTCATGGAGCTTTTCCTCTATGTTTTCTTCTATAGTTTTATAGTTCCAGGTCTTTAGTCTTTAATCCAGTTTTAGTTGATTCTTGTATAAAATGGAGCAGTAATCTACCTAAGCCTAAGTTGGCACCTGAGACTCCAAAAGGGAATACCTGTTTCTTGTATCTCTTCCCATTTTCATCTGCTCAAAGACCACTAAACTTAGGTTGGGTTTTTCTGTTTTTTCTGTTTTTGTTTTTTGGCCACAAAACAAGTCTTAATACATTTTAAAAGATTAAGATCATAGAAAATATGTTCTCTGACCACAATACCAGAAGGATACTTAGAAAATTCACAAATGTGTGGTCTCTTAAGTATATCATCCCTCAAAAAGAGGATGAAAACATATCTTGTATTTTATTAAGTAGAGCTAATAATTTGTGTAGCATACGGCTCCTGTAAGTAGAGAAAGTCAGGGAAGATTTCATGGTGATATCCAAATTGGCTTTTGAGGGACAGGAGAAATTTGACACTAGGACTTAAAGGAGGTCATTTCTCCATATGAAACTCTGGGAAAGAAAAATCTAATCTAAAGTGACAGAAGATAGATCAGTGGTTTCCTATGGCCAGGGATTGGGCATTGGGAATTGACTGGGAAGGTATACAAGAGAATAACTGAAGTGATGAAGATGTTCCGGATTGGTTATAGGGATGGTTACGTGAGTATATATGTATATTCGTTAAAATCATCAAATCATACACTTAAATATGTGCATTTTATCATATATAATTTATGCTTCAATAAGGTTATTTTATATAAAGGAAATGGGAAAACCAAATGGTTTACTCTTAGTGTTGCTAAAACTCTTCCATATTACAATGACTCACAAAGTACTTATCAGTATTCTGCGAGGAGGAAAATGTTTTCTCTAAATAAACAGAGTTTAAAACTCCAGTGCTGTTTCTTATTTTAGACTTCTCCTAAAGATGTAATGGGCAAAAAATGTAGAGCTCGGCAGAGTTCCAACTTAACAGACTATTTCTAAGTTTATATGACATTGCTAAAAACAGTATTTTCATAACACAAATTTCCATTTATAATCTAATTATTGAATGTGCGGGTAGGAGAAAACTAGATGAGGAGTTGAAGAGTTCTTTTTAACTAGCTTGTTGAATCTGAGCAAATTAATTCATATCTTTGGAATTCTTTCACTTCTAAAATAAGAAGGTTGGTTTTCTATATTTCGTTTAAAAAATTCAATTGTTCTTACATGGTTGAAATTTCTATATAGAGAGCCTCCAAATGAAACCCCTAAGTGCCAGATTTTGAAAGTGATGCATGAAAACAAGTCTTATCAAATAGAATAAATATCAAATGTTTTCTGCAACTTTAAAGATTGTTAATTTAAGGTTCTTAGGCAAATATATGTATTTTCTTAACCAAAATTAACTTTACTTACATCTATTATTTCTTGTTAGCCAATCACACAGGTTGTTCTAAAATTTCTATGGTGCTAGGTATATTACTCTATATATCATTCTTTTTCTTAGCAAATGAACAAATTGAGGGTAATAGAGATTAAATATTTTGTTCAAGATATCATCTTTGCAAAGGCAAAACTATTAGACTAAATATGTCTTATATCATGTTTTTATTGTATAAAAAGTTAAAGAAAGAATACACATATTGATGGATAGATATTGTTACAAACATAGAAACTTTTTCTGGAAGCCTATATTACCAAAAGTTAGTAATGTTACTCTTAGGGAGAGGGTCTAAAGTAAAGAGAGGTAGTTTTTCTATTTCTACTTTCTGTACCATTAAAAAATTTCCGATATGAACATTTGTTAATTCGATTGTTTAAAAATTATGCTCTTGAATTGGAATTATGGGTTTATTTTCCTTTTATTTTCTATTCTTAAACAAAAGTAATGTTTTGCTTTTTCAATTTTTTCCCCCTTCTTTTTAAAACAATATGCCTGGTAGTTTAGTTCTTAATTCAGTTGCTTAGAGCACAAAAAACAGAAGTCATAGGTTTGATTAATTACATTTGCAAAGAATAAAAATATCCCTTGTTCACAGAATGCATTTTTAACTTTAAAAAGTCATCTGGCAAACTCATGCTGGTGATCACAAGGATGAATCAGGTAACAGCACATGGTTGACTCAATACAAAACATTAATACTGGAAAATAACTCTATGTCTTACTGACAGAGGGTAAGAGAGTATACATCATTAGTTACTCAACTCTAAGTAAATATTTCAGTTTTCATACCCATCAACTCACTGCCTTCTGAGTGGAATATAAACAAGACCTTAACCATAAAAGAGAAACAGTCTCAGTACTTTTAGAAAAGCTAAAAACTATACATGTCACAAAATGATACTTTTGGTTTTTTTACATTTCTTATTAATATACCATATAAACACCAAATAAAGTACTATACCTGTAACATCTTCTGGATCTGATACAACAATATGTGCATTTAATTCCTGTAGCTTGTGATGTAGTTCTTCTAATTTTTTATTTGATTTTTTCAAAAGGTTGTCTACATAAGCCAAACTTTTTTTATCTGTTGTGACTTTCCTCAGATTTTCAGCTCCTTCTTTGATTTTCAGTTCTTTCCTTATTTCTCTCTTGATTCGATCCTTGATATCATCCAATTTCTGTTGCACCACTGCATCTGAAAAGTCTAATTTTTGAACAGCATTCACATTCTCAGAAAACGAAAGACTTCGGGAATCCCCCTACAGAAAAAAATAAACATACAAATGTGGGAGTTTAGGAAAGTTAGCTGCTTAGTAAAATATGCAGCATTAAGGATAAGTGTTTTCAGTATAGAGATTATGTTACACTTAATTACATTCACTTCTCTCCTTAATAAGCAACAGCCTACTTATTTACCTTTATTATAACAATACAAAATCATAAGTTCAGAAACTACCCATTCATTAAGAAGCACTACTTGACAAATATTAAAATAAAGTGAACATAAAATTTACTCTATGCTTGTACATGTATTACACAAAAAATGAAGTCATTGATTTCTATAAATCTGTATCTTACCACTTTAGAGCTTAAAAACCCTTTGAAACTCTGACAAAAGGCAGCAAGCAGATCAAAGAAAATTTCATGTTTGTATGTATAATTTCCAGGTTCCATCAATTCTAGGTTAAGAATTCCTGGAATTTTGATCCTTACAAATTTATCAGAAACTATCACAAATTGTTTTCAAAAGTTTGTGCTTTAATATTATGTACTAAGTCAGAGGCTACCAAAATTTCTTGGTTCATGGTACCCTTAGAATCCCGGTAATTTTTCCCTTATTCCCCATAGACCAAAAGAAATACCTAACAGTTCCATTTATTAAGGAGTAAGGTCCAAATGATAAATATTTATGTTTTAACAACTTAGTCATTGTTTGAAATAATACTACACACAAATTGAAAGGAAAAAGAACATTTTAACTTCATCCTTTAATAACCACATTACTAATGGGATAGGTTTACCTGTAGCGTATGTCACGATTTCTCAAATGCTGAAATCAGATTAGACATTCCCATCCCCATATCCTGTTCTACCTTGCATAGACAATTAGAATAATCTAATATCAAAAATTAACTGACTTTAATCAGCTCACATGGGTTCCAACAGAAGGGTGCCACTGTATTTCCCTCAAAAATTTAAGAGATACTGCAGCACCCTGACAGTTTGCTGACATACTACAGACAGTTTTGTTGCTCAGTTTGGGTACTAAGCTTTAAAGGCTGTTAAACTGTCATATGAAAATGGCTTCTATATATGATGTGAATCCTTTGAAGTCCCTTGAGTACTTCAACTCCTATTTCTTTCAGATTTGCCTCCTAAATTCCAATCATATCAAGTTACAGAAATTTAATAGTCTTGTTAGAGACTATCTCTCTTGGCTCAGCCACTATGCATTGCTGCACCTTTGGGATTCATTACCTTTCTTCTTTAATGATCTCTTCCAAGTTCCCTCTTAGCCCAGTTGACTTTACTTTGTTGCAAAGTTCACCACAACTCTTCCTGGGAAAAAATTTCCTGTCTAATGCACCCTTAGAATTGAGTTAAATCTCTCTCCTGTGTGCCTGATACTGTGGATTTTATTTAAACAATTATCCCTTTTCTTATTTAACCACTCCAAAGACTACAAGCAATTTGATGGCAGGGTTTATGCTTGGCAGAGTAGCTTTGTGTTGTTTTGTTCTGTTTTGCTTTTTAATGATTTTTCCATTATGTTTTTTTAATATTCCTCTTTTAGAATTCAGAAAAAACTGCCACTGCTGAGGAACTCAAGCTTCCCTCTTTCTGATAAAGAGAACTCATACTCCTGGAAGTGCACAAGCAAAAATGATATTCAATCATAGCAACCATCTTGGCTAGAATTAGTTATGAACTATATATGGTTACCATGTTTGCTTCCTCTTCCTTTCCACAGGCCTGAGTTTTTAGTAGCCATATTTTACTTTCATTCTTTGTTGTGACATGGCTCAAATACCTTTTGGAAAGGAGCAAGGGATACATATAATATAATCAATAATTTAAAATAAAAGGCTCAGGGGCCGAGCCCACGGCGCACTCGGGAGAGTGCGGTGCTGGGAGTGCAGCAGTGCTCCCGCCGCGGGTTCAGATCGTATATAGGGATGACCGGTGCGCTCACAGCGCTCACTGGCTGAGCGCAGTGCGGCCGGTCTCAAAAAGGACAAAAAATAAAATAAAAATAAAATAAATAAAATAAAATAAAATGCTCTCTGACAGTAGATAAGAAAGGTTACAGTACTTCCTATTACTCCTTTTCTAAACTTTTAGTTGTGGTAAACTGTAAAAGTTATTGGGAAATATTTTCTTGTATTTGGAACAACTGAAACAAGTTATTTAATCTATTAAATTATGCCTCTTCCCCCCAAAATAATAAAAACAATTATATCATAATGCCAGGAATCATTACTAGGCAATGAATTATGACCTTGGTAAATTAAATTAACATCAGGAAAATAAATAGCTATTTAGCCAGTGAAAACCTTCATTGATAACTTTGTCTCAATAGATTTTGTTACAGGAAGTAGTTATCTTAACCATCTACATTATATTGATTTGTTTATAAGCTTAACACTTTCATTCAACATTCACAACTATTTTCAATTCTATAAAATTTCATGCTTCCCCCCCAAAGTAAACAGTAGACACCTTTTCTCATCTTTTCAAAACAAAGCAAACAAACAAACAAAAAAACAACCCAAAAAACCACAACAAAAAAAAGTAAATAAAATAAATAAATAAAATTAAAAACAATAACAAAACAAAGTTGGATCCAACTGTTAATTATAAACTCCCTTTGAAATTCATTAGTATGCTCATTAATAAGAAAATTCATTAATAAGAGAGAGAGAATTCTATCAACTAATACTTAATGTAAAACTAAACTCCCAACATTGTTCAGGATCCTCCACAAATCATCTATCTATACATAAAAGAAACCCCATAATTATCATATCTCTTATCACTGAAATAAGTATAGACACTCTGTTCTAGTAAAATCAAGCCAGTTAGCACACTTGGTTAGAGCTTGGTACTGATAAACCAAGATCACTGTGCCTGTGCCAGCTGCCAAAAAAAAAGGAAGCAATCTAAGTCAAATGAATCTAACGCTTTGCTGCTTACATTCTTTTACCTTGTCCTTCTTATGCCAATTTCTTTCACTATCAACCTAAGTCTACTATTACCAAACAGTTTAAAAATATTTCAAAAAGGGGCCGGCCCGGTGGCGCACTGGATAGTGCGCCGCTTGGGAAGCGCGCGGCGCTCCCGCTGAGGGTTAGGATCCCATGTGGAGACCGGTTCCCGCTCACTGGCTGAGCGCGGTGCGGGCGCGACA